CAAAAAAAAAAAAAAAAAAAAAAAAAAAAAAAAAAAAAAGGGTGGAAAACATCCTTATGTAATTCAGTACCAGCTACAATACACCAGTGGGGGAAAAGAAAGGAAAACTAAGTAAAGGAAGCCAGCCATTAAAAAAAAAAAAAAAAAAAAGTAGCTGAATAGACAGCTCAGTGGTTAAAAGCACTTGTTGCTCTTTCGGAGGACTCTGGTTCAGGTCTCAGCACCCACACAGTGCCTCACAACCATCTCTAACTGCAGTACTGGGGCATCAGATGCCCTCTTCTGACCTCCCTGGACACCAGGCAGGAATGTGGTTCACAAACATACATGCAAACAAAACACTCATACATATAAAGTAAATAAATCCAAGGCAGGGGTTCATTATGCAGACCACCTGTGTGGTCTAGAATTTGTTATGTTGACCAGGCTGGCCTTGAACTCACAGAGATCTGCCTATTGCTATCTCTCAAGTCCTGGAATTAAAGGCATTTGCCACCATGCCCAGCTAAAAATAGTTTAAGTAAATGATTAAAAATTAGGTCAGGCATGGCAGTGCATGCCTTTAGTCCCAGTACTGGAGAGACAGAGGCAGCCAGATCTCCGAGTTTGAGTTTGAAACCAACTTGGTCTACATAATGGTGAGTTTCAGGACAGCCAAGGCTACATAGAGAAACCCTGTATCAAAAACAACAACAACAAAACAAATTTGTTAAAGAAATTACAGAAGGGGAGCATAGTGTCACACAGTTGTATTCCTGGTGCTTGGGAGATAGAGGTTGGAGACCAAAAGTTCCAGGCCAGCTGAACCACACAAGACTCAGCCTGAAGGAGAAATGTCATCATTTATAGGTCTTTTATTTGTGATTCATGAGTCCCACCAACACGTCGTGTGAAAGAAGTACTTTCTGATGGGCTAAGCAGAGGAGGATGCCTCATAGAAAAAGGGTTTGATGAAGCAGAAACGGAATAAAGAGCTGATTTGCTTGAGGAGGCCGAGGGTGTAGTTCAGTGGCAACAGCAGGTAAATGACCCCAGCATCAATCAATCAACCAATCAAAAGGTTAACCGAGCCGGACATGGTGACACACTCTAAATCTCAGCACTCTGGAGACAGAGGTAGGTGGATCTCTGGTAGTTTCGCACCGGCCAGGGCTACATAGTGATATCGTCTCAAAAACAAAAACAAACAAACAAAAAAGAGCAACAACAAAATCCCACAAAAATAAGTTAACTTGTACAGGTTAACCCAAAGAGGATTTCCTAGTCATAACATCTAAACTGGCCTACTTAGGGCTATAGCTTATAGCTTGTCTCCTTCCTTTTCACTACTTACTTATTTTTGAGAGACTGGGTCTCTCTGTGTAGCCTTGGGCTGTCCTGGATCATGCTCTGTAAACCAGATTGGCCTCTAACTAATAGATCTTCCTGCCTCTGCCTCCCGTGTACTCGGATTAAAAGTGTGCACCGCCCGCTCTCTTTTATTATTATTGTTACTGCTGTATTATTATTACTATTATTATTAGTCGGGGAACAGCTTGGTTTTGGCTCCACAGTGTGGAAACTCAGCATGAGTGACTTACATTTGGCCTACTGTGTGCCCAGTACAGGCGCTGGAGCCAAATCAGCAGCCTCCCATAAATTTTAACGCTTGAAAAGCAGTTCATGTTCCCTCCTGGGGATCAACTATTTAAAGTTCAGTTAAGGATGAGCCACTCTGGTTTTCTTGGGAACTTGTTTGTAATGTTGTTTTGTTTTCCTTTCTTTCACTTCCTAAACGAAGGATTCCAGCGTGGGCAGAGAGACAGATGAGGGAGGGAATTCACTTGAGCATCTGGTAAGTGCGCCGGGATTCCAGCTCAGGACTCTCAAAGCCTCGCGTCAATGGAAACAGCAGGTTATCCCAGTGTGACCCACCAAAGCCGCAGTAGGAGGAATGGGTGGGGCCCCGACATCCTGTGGGGACAGCTGGGGGAAGCGGATGGGGGAGGAGATGCCCAGGTGCGTGAGGGGAATCGAGGTTAAATGGGGAGCTGAAGTCTAGGTGGTCAGCTTGCAGGGTGGCTATAGGCCATACGAGGGCGCCCCACACTGCCACGTAGAGGCCTGAAGGGGTTCTAAGGCGCTGGGTCGGAGAAAAGGCCTTGAGGGGAAAGAGAGTGGGAAGGGAGTATCCAGGGTGCCCAGCAACAGGTCCCGCTCTTCGTGTTTCTTGAAGGTCGGCATGAGGTCTCCCTAGACTCTGGGAAGAGCCGGCGTTCAGGTCCTGAGGAATTAATGCCTCTGTAGATCAGGTCTGTCTGTGTGTGGGAGGGAGGATGTTTGCGGCTCACTGGGGTGTGTGTGCTGGGAATGACTGCGGTTCACTGGGGTGTGAGGGTGGGCGCGTTTCTCCAGGGATGTTGTGGGAGGGAGTGGACGTTTCTAGTGCCAGAGGGCTGGGACTAGTGTCTTCTAGGAGCAGCACTTGAAGCCCCCGGTTGAATCAGGCAGCCTTTCCCATCTCCTGTCGGAAGCAGCAGGTGAAGGGACACAGGGATGAATAGCAAATACCTCCAGCAGAGGCTGCGACACCTAGCAGCATCAAGCCTTGGAGCCTGTCCAGCCATGCGGCTCAAGGACCTGGTGTCACCAAGATTTGCCTAGGGGCACAGTGGAGATCTTGTGACCCAGGAAATAGCACTGGTCTTCACATTTTCCCCTGAAAGCTGCGTGGGGCTGTGGCCTGGAGCCCGGCCTGGAGTATTGGAGGGGCAGCTGGAGGCTTCTGCCCGCTCTCATCTTTCCAACCCACTAGCTACTTCACATGAATCAGCTCCGCAGGCCGTACCCTGGTCTGGAGGCTCAGCCGGGGATTTGGAGGCATTAGATTTGGTAGAAATTAAACCCAGGATGTGAGCTGCAGGCCAGTAGGCTCTAGACTGTGTCTCATAGCAGGGAAAGAGGGCGTACTGATTGTCGGAAAGCCCCAGGGGTCCCAGATGCTGAAACTTGGGGAAAACAGACGGGCAGTGCCCAGGAGACCCCCTCCTCCCCAGTTGGCTAGAAAGCAACAGAAAAAGTCAGTATGAACCCAGAACTCTGAGAGCTCCACTTGGTTGCTTGACCGACTCACCCACCCAGCCCTTCACTCATCAGCCTGGCCTAGGCAGATTGAGAGAAGTGTGAGAGGAAAACAGCCCCTGTGGGGAAGGAGATCTGTAGGGAGCACGGACTCAGGTCATCACCAGGAAGCAGGCACTAGTGTCAGGCCTGAAAGGCCTGGTCTCAGGTCTCAGGTCAGGGAACCCGAGGTATAGTTCAGTGATAGAGCATTTGCTTAGGAGGTCCTGGGTTCCAGTCTTAACGCTGAAAAAAATTTCCTCTCAGCGTGCCCACAAGGGTCACGTGATCTTGATAAACAAGAATGACTTAACCCAGCTCAATTTCAGTTTCGACAGCTGCAAAGCAGCTGCAGGTGTTTGAAAATTCAAGAATTAGAAACGCAAAAGCAGCTGATTTGTAAGACATGCTGTCAGGGCATGGTGGCTCACACCTGTAATCCCAGCACTTGAGAGGGTAAGGTAGGAGGACCAATCAGAGTTGAAATCAGCCTGAACTACAAGAGTTCCAAGTTAGTCTGAGCTAAGGTGAGCCTGCAAAATAAAATAAACAAAAATCGTCAGTTTAGTTATTGTCTTCCAAATGTCCAGACCCCCCTAGGATGGCTGGGTTTTCTCTCCTTTCTAAAAAGTTGGCCGGGTCTCCACAGAAAGCATGCCTATAATTTGCCTGCACAAATGTGATAATAAGAGGTCAATATTCAACTGGGTGTGGTGGTATACACCCAAAGTCCCTGCCACTCCAGTTAGAAACAAGAGCACAGAAGCTTAAGGCCACCTAGGCAACATATTGAGACTGAAGAAAAGAGAAGGAAAAGAAAACGTTAAAAATAAATGTAAACCAGGTGTGATGTCATGTGCCTGTGATCCCAACATGCCCAAGACTGAGGCAGGAGGATGTCTAAAGAGAAGCCTGGCTACATAGTCAGATCCTGTTTCAAGAAAACAAACAGGGCTGGAGAGATGGTTCAGTGGTTTAGAGCACTGGCTGCTCTTCTAGAAGTCCTGAGTTCAATTCCCAACACCTACATGGTGGCTCATAGCTATCTAACTCTATAGTTTCATGAATTCCAGCGCTCCCTTTTGGGTAACCATATATGTAAATAAATAAATCTTTAAAAACAAAACAAGAGCATGCCTTTAATCCCAGCACTCAGGAGGCAGAGGCAGAAGCAGGTGGATCTCTGTGAGTTCGAGGCCAGCCTGGTCTACAAGAGCTAGTTCCAGGACAGCCTCCAAAGCCACAGAGAAACCCTGTTTCAAAAAACAAAACAAACAAACAAAAACAAAACAAAACAGAAAGACAGCCTGACAATAGGCCAAGGGTTCATAGCTTTCTTTTCCTGCTCACCCACCCTCCCATCTTGGCTTTAGTTTCTGCTCAGAAATCCACTAGGTGAATCTGGAGAGAAGCCTCTCAGGCTCCTGGCACAGAACCGGTACTTACTAATGGTTGGTGGAATTGGATTGCATGCTGGTCATGAAACAGGGGGTGGGGTGGGGGTGGGGGCTTTCTGTGAGCCCAGTCCAGGACAGGGAGATGTGAGTGGGGCACCTCCCTGGGATCAAGTGTCAGGAGTAGATGGGCACCCACCCTATCAGTCAGCACCTGCTGCCTAAACTGGCAGGCACCCTGGTCCCTCCCAGCCCCCAGCCCTCACCCCTGTCATTCAGGTTCCTCTTAACCTCCTTAGGCTCACTCTGCCTGCCACCCCACCCTACCCCACCCCATCTTCCTCTAGGCTGCCATTATTTCCAGACCAGATGGCCCAATTTTAAATGAAATCTTGTACACAGTTCTGCCTTCTTCCAGTCTGGTGCACAAACTACATCAAAGTGATATGGCTGGAAACAGAACAATGGTGCCCACCCCTACCACCCTCCAGCTTAAAGTCCTCCCGTGGATCTCTGTTGCCCATCAGCTAAAGCCCAGATTCTCCAGAATGACCTGATATGCCTGATGTGGTCACCCTGCCCAGCTTTCCTCTCTAGCCTCATCTTGTACCCCCTCCCTTTACCTATCACATAGCCGCCCCCCTTAGATTGACCTGTCCGTGCCTGACAAATGCCAGACCTCCTCAGTCTGCCAGCACTTGCACGTATAGATGAGTTCCTGAAGGTGGAAATGAGTATTGTCGCATTGGACATATTAGAGGTCCCTTCTCCCAGAAAGACATCATTGAGCTCCTAATTTGTCCCTTTTAAGACAGGCCAGGAAGACACCTTTAACATTCAGTATTTCAGGCTTTTGTGACACTACTTTTACACTTACTAATTTATTTTATGGTCTGCCTACCCCCTTTAGTCTATATGCCGATACAAGGTACAGCTTTGTCTTATTTGCTGTTGAACCTCCTGGCCTCAGCACAGCGCTCACACATGGCAGGCATGGAGCAGTAACAGCAGGAATATGGACAGGAGCCCACATTTACTCAGCGCTTGTGGTTGAGTGCCAGGAGCTGTTCAGGGTGCCCTCCAGGCTTAGGAGCAGACCCAGCCCACCCCCACCTGTTTCCTTTCTCTCTCTGACAGGAGGCTTTTTAAAACTGCCTTTCCCAGCCCTTGCCCCAATGCAGGCCCCCACAGGTAGGATCAACACAGGGACCCTCACATGGGATCTGGAAGTAGGGGGAGGGGCAGGGCTAACTTCCTGCTTCTGTGGCTGGTTCCCTGGCAAGCAGAGACAGGCAGATGTGAGTGCTTTCCTGCAGCAGGGTCTGGTACCCAGTTACCAGCCCTGGGAGCTGGTGGACAGTTGGCAGCTGCAATGACACTGTGTCTTCTGAAACACAGCCTGATGGGTGGAGCCTGGGCCTCAACAGGGCCAGTGGCAGCTCTTGACACTGGACACTGCTCAGCCTTCCTTCCCTGGTCAGAGCAGCAGACCCTTTGGCGCTCAGCCCTGAATCTGCCTCCAGCCCAATCTCCTCACTTTCTGTCTGCAATTCCTCCAGTGGCTGCTTGTACTAAGCTCCCCTGACTCACTCCTACTATTATTACCCTCACTTTATGGGCCCCGGGCCACATGGCTGTGCGTGCCAGGCGTGACCCCAGATTTTCCTGACCTCAGGGCCCATTCCATCTCCTCACTGTATTATGGGCTGTGTGGTACTCAATGCCAGGAGACAGAAATGTCGCAGAGGGCTCCTTTGCAAAGGGCTGGGCTGACCCCATAAAAGCAGGTGCCCATGGAGCCCGGCACCTCCTGGGCAGCACGTCAGCTCAGCATCCTGGGACAGTCTCTAGACTGGCCTGACCCAGATGGGATGTGTGGGGTGCCTGGGAGAGCCAGGCTGACTGGTCCTGACGTCAAGCTCATGGGAGAAATATCCCCTTTGTTGTTCATCTCATTGTTGTTGCCTAATTACAGTGACCAAATCTGTGTACCAGGGATGCTTTGAACATGCTGTTTAGACCTTGAAAAGACTCAGGGAGACAACTACAAATATCAGAAGGATGAACCCAACAATTGAGAGTGTGTTTCTCAGCCAGAGTCCTCGAGGGCTAAAACAACTGAAGCAGAAGATTGAAGGTTGATGTGGCTAGAATAAAGCATAAACTCAGTCTCTGGGAGGAAAACAAATCTGATGAGAATTCATGGCTGTGGGGAGATGCTTGGGGGTGAAGTGTCAGTCATGCAAACATGAGGACCTGAGTTCAGATCCCCGGGATCCATGAAAGGAGCCAGCAAGCTCTGCATCTGTTAACCTGGTGCTAGGCCAGCAGAGACAGGTGGATCTCTAGAGCTCAGTGGCCAGACAGTCTGACCAGATCTGTGAGCTCAGGGTTTAGTGACAAAGAGAAGGAAGTGGGGGTGGGGAGAGACATAAACCAAATAAATAAATGTAATTAAAAAAATGAAACTAGATGGTATCTCTAATCCCAGCACTCAGGAGGCAGAGGCAGGTGGATCTCTGTCAGTTTGAGGCCAGCCTGGTAAGTGCCATAGCAGCCAGAACCCACTTTCCAAAAAGTTAAAAAAAAAAACAAAAAAATCTGTTCTTCATGAGAATCAGAATTGGGGGTGGGGTTTAAATACATGATAAGAGCACATTTGATCCTTAGCACTAAAACACACACACACACACACACACACACACACCACACCACCACCACCCAGGGTTTCATGAATACTAGTCTGCACGCGGGTGCAAAGGACCCCTTTAAAAGAAAGACCCCTGCCCACTTACGCT